GGCCAGCTCAGCCCACCAGGGGGCAGGGCTGGCTGGCATGTGGTGCTGGGGGATTGAACCGTGGTCCCCGTGCTTTGCTTAGCTTAGTTTGTTCTAAGTAGGTGCCTTAGACCACTGAGCCATCTCACCAGCTCCAAGAAAAGCTTATTATTACCTTACAACATATGCAGTTGGGCTTAACTTCACGATCTGTTTGAATATCAAACATCTTAGGCATAACATGGAACAGGTATTTTCCATCAAATATTGATATGTTAAACATTAAGTCCCTACAGAATATGGAGATAAAAATTTAAAAAATAAAAAATATTTAAAGAATATGAATAAACAATTATTTTTACACAAAAAATTTAGAAATCTAACAATATATGGCATTGTAGCAGGACAGTCCTGTGAAATTTTCTTTCTTTTTCTTGTGTATGGTTTTTATTTATCACCCATTTAAAAAACAAACAACAAAATCCAAAAAACTTTTACTTGAGAGAGTATGGTAATAATTGGTATGTCATGACAAGAAGTACGTATTTAGAAGACCAGAATGACAGGCATTCCAAGTGTGACCCTTCAGTTTAACACTGCTATCTTCAGTGCAGTTGCTTGGTTCACAAGTATCCACAGGTATAGTTAATCAGGGTGAGAATCCTAGCAATTAACTGCTGCTTTCAAAAACCTACTGATGTTTCTCAGGATCATTGCCTTGCCCATCTTGTGCGTATAAATGTATGGCTTTCTCCCTGTCCTGTTTCCCAGCTTTTCTCTATAAAAGGACAACAATTTTAAAAGCTTTTGTTTAATTAGACTTTATCTAATAAAATTCCTATGAAGACTTTCTTACAAAGTCTATATTAAAAATGAACAGTTTCTTCTCATACGCCAACTTGTGTTTAAGTAAGCAGTGTCCAGCTGTGCTGTGTTTCCTCCTTATTTCCTAGAAAGCTGAGTCCACACCTACTGAATAGGTGACAGCCTCATCAACTCTGAAACAGTGAAGCCAGAGGTGCGAAAATAATCAATATTTCTGCCTACATTTCTTAGATCTTTCTACATTGTCTGAGCTTTTCCATTTTCAATATCTACAATTAATGAAGTTGCTTTTATAGTCCTGAAGGCAGATTCATATAGGGGCATCCTCATCATCCAAAATAATTTGCCTTTGGTGTTATAAAAATTTGGTAATAAATTAATGGGCTGGGGGTCAATATAAAGATTCAAGTTCAAAAGTTCTCCCCTAAAACCTTCAAACAATTTAAATATTGTTATAGTGTAGGCAAATCGAATTTTTTTAAATTGAATTTTGACATTGACAACTTTTAAATTTTTTCTCAACAAAAAGATTTTTAGGATATTAACTTGTGTTCATCAAATAGTATACATTTTACAGATAATATAAAACTGTTAAAATTAAATAGATAAGTAAAACCTCTCAGTTATTTATAATTAAGCTAAAATTGTAAAGACAAAAAATTGTAAAGCTGGGCAAGCCAAATAGCTCAGCAGATTAAAGCATCTGCAAACAGGGCCTAGTGGTTCATTCCCTGGGCCTGTTGTGCTGGCCCTGCCCCAGGGCTTGCTGAGCCAGGAAGCTGAGACTGGGTGTGCTGATGTGTGCCTGCAATCTGAGCACTTAGGAGTCTGTAAACAGGAGAATCACGTGAGTCCGATCTAATTGTGAGACCCTGAAAACCCTGTAGACTCTTCTCTAAAAAATACAAAAAAAAAAGTAAAGCTAAAAAAATTTGTATTTATTTAGTTTTAGTTTTAGTTTTTTGTGGAACCGGGGATTGAACTCAGGCCCTTGCACTTGCCACAGAAGTGCTTATTCCACTGAGCCATCTCCCCGGTCCCAACAACTATTTTTAAAGTTTAGGTTTGTCAAAATAATTTTTAGGGTTCTAGCATGTCTTCATAAAAGAAATGTTTAAAAAAAAAGATGTCTTAAATTCATTTTCCTTAAACACCATACAGGGCAGTCCCCATTCTTTCTGCAGGCAGTTTATTATAACTGCTTATTTTATATTTATACAAAAGGCACAGGAAACTAAAATTTAGATGTCCAATTTTATCCAGCCATCTCAAAAGTAAGCTGAAATGATAGCCCAACACAACAAACTGAAAATTGAGAAAGTAGGCATTATTTGTTATCTTTAGTGGGTTCAACCAGTTATCATGAAAATGTTGACTTTTTCTGGTAAATCTTCTTAAAACTTTCCTTCTTGGTTCCAGAAGACCTCTTCATATACAAGTTAAGTGTGAGAAGTATATTCTGTTTTATTATACAAAATTTGGCTAGTTGGATAGAGGAAAATCAGTTTGCTAAATAAATGGTACTGAAAGAAATCCTGATCCAAGTGGAAAAAAATCCCCTGTGAGTTTAGTTCAAATGTTTCTAACCAAAGAAAATGATACAACAATGTTTTTAGGCTAACTTAAGAGATGGTTGATATGAAATTTTACATTTTACAGGCCAAATATATAGTCTAAGAGTTTATAAAATAAACTAATGTATTATTAATTCTGAAAATATCGCATGTAAGTAAATTACCCTGAAGTACTTGTGGCAGCACTTCAGGTGGAAGCAGCCTTATGTACAAACAGTCTAGTTTCTCTGCTGCTAAGTATATAATTTAAAGAAATTTCAGACACTACTGAGTAAATCTTTGTCCATTCATAATTGATTAAAAAATGTTAATTTGCAGGATTTAAAATGTTTTCTTTAAAAAGAAAAACACTTAAAATATATAACCTCTGTTCAATTAAAAATACAAAAATTCTGTGTGGTTTGATCACACTATATAATTTATAATAGAAAGTCACTATTTGAAAGATTGTTTTACTGTACTGACAGCACTAATTAGTGAATTAACATTTAGATTTAGTTCAGCCTCACTTATATAATAAGATCACATTTTCAAAATGGCATAAATTTTCCTTTATTGTAAAGGTTCTATTTAGCAGCCATTACATTGGTAAAGGTTAACAGTTTACAGAGCAAATGTTTTAACTACTATATATATATTAACTTTGTCCTCCCCAGGTGTAATAGTAACACAAAGCTAATGTCTACATTAAAAACCCTTTACTCTTCCAATCCACACGTTAACCAAAGGTTTTCTTCTCTCCCTCTTGTCTGACCTCACTGGGGAAGTGTGGGCGTTTCAGAGTATATGTACACATTTTACACAGCATACCTGAATTTAGGTGATTACAAAGACAAGTAAAAGACTAAATCATTCTTAATTCAGGTTTTGTGGAAAACAGGGCTTACTGACAACCTAAAAAGATGAGACATTCAAGGTGCCCTAATAAGCTTAAGCCTATAATAGTTGAACAGCAAAGGTCATTTTACTGCACTGTGAACAATCTTCACTGACTGGCACTGAAGACTACACACCAAACCTGTGGCTACTGGTAAATAAGAGGTTTAAGCCAAGAGTGGTGGCCCAAGCCTGTTGCTCCAGCACCTGGGAGGCTGAGGCAGAAGGATCACCCTGAATTAGAGGCCAGCCTGGGCTACATAGTGTGAGCAAGGCCAGCCTGAATTACAGAATAACACTGTTTCAAAAAACAAATGAGGGGGGCCAGGGAGATGGCTCAGTGGAATAAGTGCTTCACTGGCAAGCGCAAGGGCCTGAGTTCAATCCCCGGTTCTGCAAAAAAACCAAAAAAACCCCAAAAAAACAAAAGCCACAAATGAGAATAAAATAACAAAAACAAAGAAACAGTTTAACAGAAGAGGTGTCATTAAGTTAAAAAACTAAAAATATAGTTTAACACAACTTACACAGAGGAAAATAGGGTTTGTAGGTATTCTATGTACAGAGAGACAATAGATAAAATTTGAGTATGCTAAATAAATTTCATGAAATGCAGTTTTCAAAATAAAAGATGTCTTCCTCCTCTCGTTAGTTGCTCCCATGAGCCCCTTTCACTGAGGAGATACTGATATAAAAGGCCAGCTCATTTGGACTCAATTACCACACGGGTTAAGAACTCTCCCACTATTTGGGGGGAGGCTCTAACAACAGATTTGGCCAAGCCACCAGCACCTGTTCTCTGAGGTTTCTTCCTCCCTTCCAGACCCACTGTGGTCCCTCAAACAAACAGTATAGAATGTCCAACTGCTAAAATACACCTCTCCTGCTATAAATTCGCGTCAAGAGCTGCCAATGCTGCCATGAGTGTGCTCCGTGTACACTGCCCCAGTCTTCTGCCACCCACAGCCCACTGGTGCACCTGCATGAACCTAAATAATGCCTTTTTCTGCCTTTGATTGGCTCCTGTCAGGCAGTCCTTCTTTGCACCTGACCTGACTTAACCTCCCAGAGATTGAAAACTTGTTTCCCTTTGAAAAAGCACTTCTGATTAGTGACAGTCAAGCTGTCTGCTGGGAAGACACAAAAGCTCTGCTACAATATCTTGCAGAAAATGGATACAGGAAAGTAACTCCACAAATTTCTTGGAGCTGCTGGCTTCTATAAAATCTGCATCCTTGAATTTACAAAAACAATGATGCTTATATAGACTGTCAGCCCCTGGAAGCACCTAGTGTCCACCTGTGCAAATATTTGGATCCAGTAGCTAAGGGCTTCCTCCCCCTTTGCCTCCACGCTCTAATAGCCATTGTCTTTCTGATCAAAAAAGCTGACAAGCTCACCCTAGGCCAAGACCTAAATGTTCAGGTGCCACATGCTGCGCTGGACCTTACCCGGTACCAATAATCCTTATGCAAAAATCTCCATCTGACTCTTGTGGCAATAAAACCACTCAATCCGGCCATGTACCTGCCCTCAGAGCTAAGCTCAACAGACCATCATTGCCTGGCATCCTCTGAAACTGTTCTTGAGCCAATCAGACTTTTAAAAAATAACCCCTGTGGTGGATAGCTAACTGGTAGCCAGCTTCTTACACACAGCTGAATTGAACTAGTGTGGTGCTGGGTGTGGGAGGCCCACCTGAGGATTGTTGCCAGCAACATAAGAGGTTGAACAGAAGCTGTTGGAACACTGCTAGGGATGCTGTTTGGAGAAGCTGTTGTAGCTGTTGGAAGCTGCTAGTTCTCTTGGGCCATTTTGCTGAAGGACCTTGTCATGCTGGCTTTCCTGATGAACTTTGGGGGAGCTTTGGTCCTCATCCTAAGCATCGCTTCCTGGCTCTGGAGAGAAAGATGGTGCATGGCTCAGCCTCATGTAGAAGCTTCTTGCATTGGCTTTCCTGATGGGATCTCAGTTTTCCTCATCGCTGGAGACCTCACTGTTGCTAAGGATGGCTGTGGTACTTTTGGGGGAGCTCTGGGGCTTAGCTAGAGTGCTGCTTCCTAGCTCCAGTTCAGATCTCTCAGCCTGCGAGCATAGAACCTTCATCCCTCTGGCACAGACACTAGCTTCCACCACTGACCTATGGGCCTTTCCTATACTTCTTGTATGGGATTCTTGGGTGATTCCTTATAAAATATTATAAAATGTGTCCTGTATTATGTCATTCTCCTTGCAAAAACCCCAAACCACGACATACCCCAATAGATTCTGAGTACACTAACAGGAAGTAATCCTGTTAGGAATCTTGTCCAACAGGCTAGATATGTTGTGGTCACCTTGGACAAAAAGTCTTTTGGCCAAAACTTTCATGCAAGGATGATCTGCACAGAAAACTGCTTTCTGTCACTGTTTGCAAACCTGCCACCAATAATGCGAAGTAATCTGGTCCGTAGGTCCAAACCCCAGCTGAGGGTCCAATTGACTGAAACATCAGCCTGATCTGCCTCCACTATATGTTCTGTGAACTCAAGCTGCTGTGCTGGCACCTGTACTCCTGGAGTTAGCTCAGGCTTCAGTGTCGCCAGCCCCAACCTTTAACTCCATATCCATACTGAGAAGACAGTAAAAGCTTGTAGAGTCATATTGTAAAAATAATCCCTAGGTATGGCCTACCCTTCATCATTGGCAGTGACTAGCGGCCTGTGTTTGTAGCAGAGGTAACTTAGAAAACTAGATTAAATAAAAACTGCATACAGCATAAGTGCCACAAGTTTTAGAAAAGTTAAGCAATAGCTTGTAACCAGTTTTTTAAAATCCAGCTATATCTGTAGTAATTCCTGCACATATATATAACACAGGCATATATTAACTGCCTCTACAAGTTTCAGAAATCCAGCCTTACATCCACTAAAATATTTACCTGAACCAGACAGCTCACTCTGAAGACATGGCACACTCAAAGCTCTGTTCCGGGCCCTCTCAACCCTGACCAGTCGACACATGGCCAAAGCCTGAGGACACAATTCACAGTATTACTCCCCTTGACTTCTGTATCTTTTCAGGCTGCTCACCCCAATTCTTTCTTCCCCTTTCCCTACTAGGTGGGTTTCATTTTATTTTATTTTTTTACTTAAGTCCAGTGGATGGATTCCCCCGAGATAAAACAACCAATCAAACATTTGACCAAGCTTTGATCAGGGTCCAAGGAACACTGGACCCTCTCCTAGGTCAGATTAACTCCTTACTTCTTGCTAGAGGAATGTTACAGGACAGACAGGCTTGACTTACATCTCTTCCTTAACACAACTTATGGAAAAACTATAATAAGACAATCTTGGGAACCTGCTAGGACCCATCCTAGGATCACTGACAGCCCTAATGTCACTGTTTCTAGGTGGGCCTTGTCTCAAAAGATCACATGGAACATGTCCAGGAAGTTGTTTCCAGGGTGGAAATGCAGAAGAAAATGCCCCCCCCCCGCCCCCTGCCAGGATAAGCCAGTTTCTTAGTTGCTCAGGTAATAGATTGTGTTCCAGTTCTGATTGCTTCTGTCTTTTAGAAATGGCTGGTCACTGTGAAGCACAGCTGGTCACTAAGATGTGCACTGTATGCATGAATCCCCAACCAACAAGCCACTGTGGCTCCATACTTCTGGTTTGTTTGCTTATAGAAGCCTAGACCACCACAGATCAGGACCTCATGTACTGGGGACGATCCCAATCCATGCCCATGGATGTAAATAACTCTGCTTTCAAATTCTGATTGTTGCTTCAGTGTTTCTGCCTGCTGTTGCATTACCATCATACCTCTTCAGGGTAGCTCACACTGTGCTGTAGAGTGTATTGTATTTTTACTTTTTCTTCCATTTTCCCTTCTCCTTACCTCAGGCCATACACTTTCTCCAGAACATGTATTTCCCTTACACTTCTTTTATTTTCCTACCCTTAATAAATTCAAACATTTCCATTTTTATGCTTGGTTTGTTCAGTTTTTTGTCCAGGAGAGAAACAATAAAGAAGACTTCCAGCACTACAAACCCTGTAATAATCAAAGAAGGACATCACATTTATATGTCATTATACCATGTTCTTTGATTTTATATTTGTAGCTTAGCATTAGGTAATGTTCATAATCTCTACTTGTGCACCATTTATCAATTACATTTTATCATAGCTTTTTTGTGTACAGAAAAGACTATATGTGTATGTGTATGTGTGGTCATATAGTTATGAACATCTAATGTTAGGTTTAAGGCATACATTGTATATATTGTAAAATTGACTCTTTAAATAAGGATATATTCAATACTTGATGGAAAATACCTGTTCCATGTTATGTCTAAGATGTTTGATATTCAGACAGATAATGAGGTTAAGCTCAACTGCTTATGTTATAAGGTAACAATATGATTAAGCTCCTCTTCTGGAGGGTTAATAACTTAAGTATGCAGACCAAAAGTTAGAGAAAAACAAGGGCTACAAGGATAACCAACATTTTGGCCCTAGCCATTCAAGGTCAGTGAGGACTTAGGACGTAAAAGAACCTGTATTGTAATATCCTATAATTTAGTGGTGTCCCAAATTTTCTGATCAAGGAGATTATGAGGCCACAGAGGAAAGTGATTGACAATGGCTTTCAGTATATTGTTCTTGTGCTGGATTTCTGGGATCTTGACTATAATATGTCTCGATGTGCTTTTAATTGGATTCAAGTTACTTGGCATTCTGTGCGCTTCGGTTACCTGAATGTCAGATGTTTTCTCATATTTGGGAAGTTTTCTGCTATTACTTTTGCCCATATTTATTTTTAATGCCATTTGTATTGACTCCTTCTTTCTCATTGATACCTATGAGTCTCATATTGTTCATCTTTGCATCATCTTGCAGGTGATGGATTATTTTTTTCCTGCATCCTAGTTGTTTTTTTTTTTTTTAACCATACAACCTTTTTATTGTTAAGTCATAAAGAGGTATCAAAATTAAAAAGCAAAAATTACAGGAGAAGACTTAACAAAACTACTAGGAGCATCAGAGGAAGTGAAAATGGTACTAGGTGCAGGGCAGTTATGAACATGGTAGGACACAGGGAGAACAGTGAGCATGTGCTGAAGATACTAGGGGAGAGGATCTGGTGAAATTTTGATCTTAGACAAGTGCCTAGATAAAGAAATAATGGGACAAGACTTCTAAACCAAACTATGTGCTTAAGAGTCATCCTCGCCATTGGCGCTGTCTCTATCATCCTCTCCTTCCTCAGCCTCTTTTTCATCATCCTTGATCAACTCCAGCATTTTCACCTGGTCCTCCACCCGATCTTCATTTTCATCATCATCCAATAGATCCCCCTCCTCAGCAGAATCATCCACAGCACCCTCAGATTCCATCTTCACATTGGTCTCATCTTTCTTTTGGGAGGTGGTAGTCTGCTCCTCTTCGGTCTTATCATTCTTCATCTCCACTGCTTGTTTGCTCTGTTCCTTTTCAATTTTTTCTAGGCTTT